AACCAAAGTTAAAAAAAAAATATATATATATATATTTTTTTTTTTATAAAATTAACATTAACAGAAAAAAACTACAAAAAAGCTTATTACATTTCTCACTTTCATTTAGTTGAACTTGATGTACTTCAACAACTAAAACTGAAATAAAAACATTAAAAACTAGATGTATTTAAAAATAAATAAATAAACGTAAAATAAAATTCTAAACAAATAAAAATAATTCAAAATATTCATGAAAACTATAATAGCAACTCAATGACACTAAAATAATACTATAATAATAAATTATTTCTATTCTAAATATTCACAACCTTATAAAACAGGCCACTTTTCACATAAACAGAAACGTCTCCATTTATAAGTGAATATTGCCGAGTTCACACAGCACGATTTTCAAACTCGTCGGATCGCAGTTGTTTTCACACTGCGTGACTATCTGAGGTAGCAGTCAGTCGCTGCTGTGTTCACATTGCATGATGGATCGGCGACAGGAGGTTACACACTGCATGACTTTACCCATCACATTACCCTCCACTGGATGTAGAATGAGCAGCATTAAACTACATTTTGGCATTTTACAATACTTATGTGGATATTTTGGATGAAAGTAACTCAAAAGTAACAAAAGTAGTGTAATGCATTACAATTCAGAGACAGTAATATTGTAATGTAACTAATTACTTTCAAAAGACAGTAACTAGTAATACATAATGTATTACATTTTGGAAGTAACTTGCCCAACACTGATCATCGCCGATGTAGCTTTCAGCCAGAAATCATTGCACACAGCGTGATTGTGAATCGCCGACAGCTCCAGATATTTAGCATGCCAAATATTTTGCGGGCGTCGGCGACGTGTCGGCGATTCCCTCAGATCGCGTCTTTGATAATTCACACTGCGTGATTGTCACTCGCGTGAACGAGCACCGATTTGCCGCCGATTTCGGGCATTTGTCGGCGTTTTCGCAAAACCTGTCGGCGAGTGAAAAATCGGGGAAAAATCGTGCAGTGTGAACTCGGCATAAGCCTACATTTGTTTTATTTTGCTATGCTAACTGCGCACAATTACAGCTGCATTTTATTTTTAGCACAGATTTTTCCTGCTGTCTACGAGCTGTCAGAACAGACGTGTGACCCATTTCTAAAACAGTAAACAGAAGAGCCGGTGCTGTAGAGATTTTACCTTGCAGGATGAAGCCAGCAGAGATCCGTCTTCCTTCCAGGCCAAACCCTGCAGCTGATCCTCATGCTGCTCCAGTACTGCACACACACACACACACACACACCACATCCAGAAGATCAGCATTTAACACAAGTTCACAAACTCTCAGACATCATATCAGTGAGGACACACACACAGAAAAGCATAGGAGTGCTGGGAATCTGAGCTCAACACACGTGTGTATGTTAGGAGAGTCTGCTGATGCAAACCAATGCACTGGGAAAAGCTGCTGTGACGCGCCAAACACATCGCTGAGGAGAAACTAGGCATTTAAAAAATGAGAAAATTACATTAGAAATCTTGCCTTGGCAACTCACTGAAATAAAATAAGTTAAAGTACTAAAATTACTGAATTAAACGTAAAAACTGAATAGAAAGTTTTTTAAAAAAAATTAACTTTAATAATATAGTATAATATAATAATATATGGCACATAAAATTACTAGGGATGCACCGATACCACTTTTTCCAGTACTCGCCCGATACCGATACTTTTATTTTTGGTAGTTGCCAATACCGAGTACCGATACCGATATTTTTATTGCATTTGTACATTTTTCAAATATTGGGTATAGAAACCAAAAGGGTATGTATAATGTAGGTTGGTTAACTTCATTTATCAAATAGATACAGTCAAACCTAAATTTATTCAGACACCTTCAACATTTCTCACATTATCACAGTTTATTCGCTATAGTTTAGAAAATGGTATTAAAATATGACAAGAACTCAGAGTTAAACTGTGTCAGAACAAATTCATCTTGATAATGCTAGATAATTCTGATAGAAAGGTATGTAATAGATTACAATCAACCAAAAAATATTCAGACAGCTGTTAGTATGACAGTATTTACACAACTATCAATACTTAGTCGGGCAACCCTTAGCCTTAATGACAGCCTGTAGTCTACAGTCTAAAGACTACAGGCTGACCTAGTCTAAAATAATTTTTGGTTTCACTGTATATCCTTCGGTTATTTTCACACTTAATTATGCCCATTAAAATGTATTTTACAAGTTTTTGTTACTTTCACTGTTCTTGCTCTGTGCTCCATTGCAGCGGCTTAGTACTGTAATCACGCGCTTTGCTGTAATAATGCAGGGAACCACTCGTTATAAATCTCCTAACTGTGATATTTTCAGAAATAGAAATCGCGTTTTTTTATCTGAAACGTGCTGCGGTTTATTTTCCAAAGCCACTCATATAATGCAGAAACACTCAAGCAAGCAAAACACACGCAACGCCTGCACGTGTTTGTACTGATGCAGAATAATACAGTCTAGCGCATTTCACACAGGCTGCTAGATTCACTTTAGCTAGAAAGTCGTGTATGCCTAAGGTTGAAAATAAATGATGATTATAGTGAATGCCCCTATGAATGGTTTTATTTATACGATTTCGTTTTAATTCAAATGATGCGTGCGCTCAGTGAGTGAACATCAAAGATCACACAACAGAAGTGCGCGCGTGCTCTCTCTCGCGCTCTCTCTCTGTCTCTCTCTC